TGCCTGGACGTGGGTTTCTATCACAGCGTCTTCAGGATCTCTAGCATCTATAAATCTAACAACAAAGTATTTCTGCAGTCCTCTAGTGTGGAAAAAGCTCTGCACCTTCACAGTCCTATAGAGCAAGCTTTTCTCTCCCACCCACACTTGCTCATGATTTCGCTTGCAGTGCTTGCGCATCTCATCTTTGTTGATTGTGATCTAGCTGCATGTCTCGCACTGCGCACCATCAAGCGGCTTTCCTAGCTCTTCTATTGGCTGCGCAGGCTCTTCTGGGAGCTCAATCGCGCTTAGAGCAACAGTCTCAAATTGAGAAAGCACTCAAGTATCTGTCGCCGTAGCGCAGCAGATGCAGCATGATATTTGCGGAGATGCGCATCAAGACTCACAACTGCTGTATAGTGCTGCTTGCAAACAATAACGCTAAAGCCTTCAAGAAAGCAGAAAACGTTATTAGAATTGCTGAGTGTGAGCTGCTGGGGCCATCTGTGGGAGTTTGCAGTGTTGTTTTCGCTGCTGCCTGAATTGTTTGCTTGGCTGTCCCACACAAGCTCCATCGCGCAGAATGTAAGGAGCTGGCCTCTGCAGGCTATTTGCAAGTATGAATTAAATAGATTTGTTGAGGAGTGGCTGCAGGCGGAGGTCTGCAGACTTTTATGTCCTCCGTGCGGAGGTTACACAATTAGTCAAGATTAGGACCTCCTGACTGGGGGTACAGCTGGGCAGGCACCTCCTCTCAGAGGTTGGCCGAGGCCGGCGAGCGCTGAGGCGCTACCATCAGGCCTAGCCTGTTACACAGAAACCCTAACCCTACTTACTATAACAGCACTAAGTTTTGCTAAATAGACAGACAAAACGCTCAGCGTCGCTATGCAAAGTATATAGGAATTAAGTTTGTATAAGATATTTTTTAATTTAGGCGCAAAGTAATGGTGGGTTAGTAGTGTTAGGGTAATATGGGGGACTACTAAAGCAGATTGCTTAAAAGGGGTCAAACCCTAATGCTAAGCCTCTTTTGCCGCGGTTTGGTGTCCTCCCCGCGCCCTTATCTTGGCTAGGCTCTACCCGCCTGAGGGTTATGACATACATCCGCAAAGGACCACACCTACACTACCAGGCTAGAGAGAGCCTTAATCACCCAGACATGCTGTAGGTAGTAGTAAACAGAATCTCTATTCTTAACTGCTACAGGTGTCCCCACACTCCGCACGTTATCCAATATGTCTCCTGCCTTACACCCCCACATCTGTGCCTTGTAGGAGGAGACTTTAACGCTAGACACGAATCCTTTGAGCCTACTACCACTGCAGCTAATAGAGGGATAGAGCTTGCCAGGTGGGCTGCCAACGCCTCCATGGACTATATTGGGGTGCCAGGACAGCCTACACACAGCGCTGGCCACGTCCTGGATCTCACCTTCTCTAACATCCCTTTTGCCCAGTCTGCTGTTGACGCTAGCATGCACAGCGGCTCAGACCATGAGACAATAGTGACCTCTATCCCTATCTCCACACCAGGCACTCGGCACCTAGAGCAGCACCACTACAGAGTCCCAGAGGCAAACCTACCCAAGTTCACTGGGCTAGTAGAGATAGGAGTCCAGAACATCCCGGACCCGCTGGCCACACAGGAGGCATCACAGCTCAATGAGTGCGTTAGGCTGCTCACAGAGACTATAGAGCACGCGATACAGACAGCAGGCAGAGGCGCCTGTAAGGAAGGCCGCGCTGCACCTTAGTGGACAGAGGAGTGCAAAACTGCCTACTAAGTCTATAAACAGGCGCGACAGCTCTACTCTAGCTATCTACCTAAAGAGAGACAGACCTTCAAGACTACAGTCTAATAGGCAAAGAGACAGTACTAGAGGCATGTAATTAACAACGCCAAGAATAACAAAGACCTATTTAAGATTATTGCCTAGCACAAGCTCTCGCTAGAGAACTAAGACGCTCTGCTTGTAGTAAACAACGTGGCTATATTAGACCCCCTAGAGAAGGCAGAGGCCCTTAGAGAGGAGGTCCTCAACTAGTTTAGAGCAGAGGACGACCTCAGGCACTGCCCAGACCAGGAGAATGCAGATACCCTCCCGTGGAGCACGCACATCTCACTAGAGGAATGTGAGCGAAATACAATAGGGGTCTCCAGCACCTCCCCAGGCACCGATCGCTCTACTGTGCGACTACTCCGTGCCTGCTGGGCT